ATCTTTTCAAATTTTTATATTTTCAGAGAATTTCCTTTAGTACTACTCTGTTAGTTTGTATTGAAAATCATAGTTTTAATTTCTCAGAGATTTGTATTCTCTATTTTTTCATGACATTTCTCTTTTTGTATATACTATCTTCTCCAAAGTCAGTGAGAAAATAAATTAATAATTTCTTAAATATTGCCCATTGTGCCTTGGTTTACTTCTCTAATATCCTTAGGTGTCTAAATATATTGACCTCCCTCTTTTCTTCCCAGTTGCTGGTTTTATTCATATAACTGTTGATCTGTAGCTATCTGTTCATGGTTTGGGAAACAACTGAGTAGCTGCTCCTTCCATGAAGGATTGACTTTTATGAGATTTGCCCTCCCGCTGTAAACAACTAGAACCCTCTCCCCCAAAAATGTAGAACGATTTATTTTAAGACAATGAACATTAGTTAGCACAGGACTGTGATACCTGAGAGAAGGAAAACAGAGTAATTCAGAGTCATTGCCAGGCCTCAGAACAAGTAGGGGAAACCTAGGAGGAGCAGCATCCTCCTGCTTAAATATGGAGATAAGGGCATTAAATTCAGGAAGGCAAAGATGGCTAGACTGCTGGGTAGGGTACTAAGAGGAAGAAGCTGATACAGAGAGAGTGCCAGTTTAAGGGATGTGCTGAGGCATTCCCTTGAATTGGACAGAGGAGTGATGTACACATATGTGAGGAATCTCCCCAGGATAATGGAAAGATACACCTTGAAGCACACAGCAAACCAGCTAGAGCTTCCAGAGGGCTAGGAATCATTCTGTGTTTCCACCAGTTAGGAGGGAGAAACCTATTAATAATTCACAGGGCATAAGGAACAATTATGAGAAAAGTCATGTTGTAGAAGGGGGCTGCATTTGTATCAAGAAAGGCTGTTATGGATATGTTAATTAGAAGGTTGGAAAATGATATACCATGGAGAAATAAAGTCTGAAGTAGACTTCAGATAAAATACAAATACTATTTCTAGAGATAAGGAGAAATATTCCAAAATATAAATGGTGTAAATTCAGTAAGAAAATATAACAGTCTTAAATGTATATGCTCCTAACAACAAAGCATTGGCAAATATGAAATAAATACAAATATGAAGTAAAAACTGAAAAGAAAAATACTGATTTTTGTCAAGTAACTTCACATTATATATTTATTTATATTATAAATTTATTCATATTATATATTTCTACAGTCTCAACTCTGAGTGCAAGTTTTTATCTGCTTTTTTCTCAAAACCTACCTGTGGAAAAATAAATAAAATGGTATTTTGAAGGAAATTTTGCCCCCAAGATTTGCCATTTTATGTTTGTCCTATTCTTACTTGCTTGAAGCCTTCCTATTGCATTGTATGTTTTTAGCACCATTCTAAATTGCTTTTACATTTTCAAGGATGGTTTTAAATTCCTAAAATTTACCTTTTCCCAAATATTTCTCTCAGAATTTTTGAGACCTGGGAATTTGGGATGTCTAAAGCATAGAAAGGCTTTTATCTCACATGTTGAGATACTATAAAAAACTTAGGCTGTGGTACTTTTCTCTGAATTACCACTTACCACCTTTCCATCTGCCTTCTACCCTCCAGAAATGTATTGTTATCTCCCTGCTACTAATTGTCCTAGTTTTATAAATGTGCTTGGTTTAAATTGCCAATGTTCTTTTGAAATGAATTTAATGTGGCCTCTTAAAAAGGAGATTAATGTATGTAGTGAGGCAGCTATGATAATTCCAAACATTGCAATGTTTAACATATTTTATGTGATTTAGTGATTTTTTATTTACTTATAAACATCTATTTTTAATTTACTAAATTATATCTATCGTGTACAACATGTTTTGTAGTATGCTTACATTACAAAATTGCTACATATGGCCAATTAACATATACATTACCTCATATACTTTTTGGTGACAAGAACACTTAAAATCTCTTAGCAATTTTCAAGAATTCAAGGCGTTGTTATTAACTATAGACCCATGTTGTACAAAACATCTCTCAAACTTATTCCTTCTAGCTAACTGAAATTTTGTATCCTTTGATTAACATCACACCAACATTCATCCGCGCCCCCATCGGCAGTCCCTGGGCACCATCATTGCATTGTCTAATTCTATGAGTTCAACTTTTTTAGATTCCAAACATAAAGGATACCATGTGGTCTTTGTCTTTCTGTGCCTGGTTTATTTAACTTAACATAATGTCTTTCAGGTTCACTATGTGTCACAAATGACATTTCCTCTTTTTATAAAAGGTTGAATCATATTCCATTGATTAAATATACCACATTTTATTCATTAATGAACAATTATGTTGATTCTATATCATAGCTAGTGTGAATAATGTTGCAATTAACATGGCAGTGCAACTATCTTTTGACATACTGATACTGTTTTCTTTGGATATATACCCAGCAGTGGGGTGGAATGATGAGATAGTCCTATTGAAAAAAAAAAAAAACAAAAAACTTCCATTCTGTTTTCCATTATGGCTCTAATAACTTGTATTCCCACCAACAGTATACAAAGGGTCCTTTTTCCTCATATCTTTGCCAATGTTTGTTATCTCTTGATATTTTGATCCTAAAGTGTATGAGGTGATATCACATAGTTGCTTTGAATGCACTTCCCTGATGATTAATGATACTGAGCACCTTTTATATACTTATTGGTCATTTTTATATCTTCTCTGGAGAAATGTCTCTTTAGGTTCTTTACCCGTTTGTTAATCGGGTATTTGTCTCTCTGAGTTGTATGAATTCTTTATAAATTTTAGGTATTAACCCTTTTTCAGATATGTGGTTTACAAATATTTTCCAAATCCCTAGCTTCCATTTTATTTTCTTGTTTCCTTTGATTGAAGAAATGTTTTAGTTTGATGTTTAATTTTTTATAGCATTGCTTATTGGTATGGTTTGGCTGTGACCCCACCCAAATCCTATCTTGTAGTTCCCATAATCCCCACATGTCATGGGAGGGACCTGGTGGGAGGTAATTGAATCAGGGGGTGGTTACCCCCATGCTGTTTTTATGATAGTGAGTTCTCATGAGATCTGATAGTTTTATGAGGTGCTTTTACTGCTTTGTTCAGCACATCTTTCTCCTGCTGCCATGTGATGGAGGACATGTTTGCTTCCCCTTCCACCTTGATTCTAAATTTCCTGAGGTCTTCCCAGCCCTGCCGAACTTTGAGTCAATTAAAACTCTTTCCATTATAAATTACCCAGTCCCGGGTGTTCTTTCGTAGCAGTGTGAAAATGGACTAATACGCTTACGTAGCCTGAGTTTTTGGTATGATATCCAAAAAAAAAAAAAAAAAAAAAAAAAAAATCATTGCCAAGGCTACTGACAAGGAATTTTTCTCTGTGTTCTCATCTAAACATCTTATGGTTTCAGGTGTTACACTTAGATCTTTTGTCCATTCTAACTTTGTGTTTTGTATAATAAATGGGTCCAATTTTACTTGTTTCCATGTGAAAATCCAGTTTTCCCAGACCCATGTATTGAAGAGACTACTTTTTACCTATTGCCCTTGTCAAAAGTTACTTGACCATACAAGTTTGGATTTATTTCTGTGGTCTATGTGTTTATGAGGGAAATAGATTATTTGAAATCAAATTTGAGCAACCATTAAATGTGTTTTCTTCTTTGTGTTTCTTTTAGTATTGAAGCTTTTCATTTTTAAGTAATTATACATGCATAAGAAGTTGCAGAAAAGGAACAGAGAGGCCTCATGTCCCCTTCCTTCACTGACGAGGGTGAAAGTCCCACCTTTCCACTAATCTTCCTGAACCACCACCACGGAGGGCAGCAGAAGTTTCTCATTACCTCCAGGTGGTGGTAGAAGTCCAGGTACCAAGTGCCACTGAAGACACTACAAGGTTGGGGCGTGGGGTAGGGGATGTTATTTTTCGGTGTTGGTGAAATTGCTGGTTTTCCAATAACCCCCTTCTCACACTACTCGAGGAAGGAAAAGATGGAAGTATTATAGTCAGGCAAAGATGGAAGTATTCACTTTCCACTCAGCCTTTGCTGATGTGCGTATAGATGGAGACACAGGTTTTTCTCATGTCTAGAGTAGGAGTAGAGCAGTATCATTATTGAAAAATTTTACCTCTTGCTAGGATCTTCCTTTCCTGGCTCTTTGTGTAGAGAGGACAAGCTTTTCTTTTTTCTTGATGTGACCCTTTGCTGTTTCTAGATTGTAAGTTTCTCCAGTATCCAGTCCAGTTAAAATGAACAAAAAAGAAACACCACTGGAACTCATCTTCACATAATTCTTCTGGTGCAAGGCCTTTAGTTGGTCTGCCTTCTCTCCATGATTTTATGTTGTGTTTTACAATTTTAGTTGTACATAGCATGAAAAATACTGAGAAGCATGTCTATTACATCTTTCCTAAAACTTGAAATCTGTTCCCCTTTTTAAAGCATGTTTAGTATGCAAAAAATTAAAAAATGTTAACTAAGATCAAGTGAATATTTACTTTAAAATAAAATTCTTCACCTTGCACAGTAATTCACTTTGGAATTTCAATAATGTCTCTCTCAAATATAATACGTGGTACAATTCCTTTGAATGTAAAAATTTACAGGACTTTTCAGGTACACGTCATTCTATAAAAGGATGCACATTTGTATTGAAAATTCTGACTGGTACTGGGAAGATGATTTTAGATACTGTCTTTATTTATTTTTCTTTGAATTTGTATTAATAGTAGAAATTCACAAGTGCCTCACATTCACCACAGTGTTCTTTGTGCTTTGATCTATAGTTGTAACCTTCCCAGGCACTGAAGGCAATGTTGTTTACTCAACATAAAAAAGTAAGGGTCACAGCTTTGCTTGCATTTTCAGACTAAATATGCTGAGAATATTCTTATAAGATTCTTGGATCATTATTACATCCCTTATGCACATAGCTGTTACACTAAATTTAATTTGAACTTTGTTTTCAATTATGCAAAAATCCCTGAGTCTGTAGTTAAGCCAGCATAGTCTGAGTGAGTGTAGAGATAAAACCCATTATTGGAAAAAATACATTCTTACTATTAAAAGGTCACAATGTTCCCAGACTCCAGAAAAGGATGAAAAAAGTACTTGTCTTTCCCCATGAAATGCTATTTGTCCAGCTTTGATGGCTATGCTAGGCCAGAGCCCATTCTTCCATTATCTTCTTCTGTCTTCTTTGCTTTAGTCTTTTATCTTCTCTGCCCTGACCCAGACTCCTAACTTCAGTACTTTGAGGTCCTTGTAATCTTCATCATCGTTTTGACTTCACATTGGAAGACTGACAACAGTTATTATTCTGCTTCATTTTGGAGGACTTCACCATTTTGGTTTCATCTTGGAGCACCGATAGCAGTTTTCTACTAAGCCCAACTCTGTGCTATTTCAACTTCAAGGTTCTTTAAGGTAGAGCTTTTAAAAATAAATAAATGTTTATCGTGTATACAATATAATGTCTTTGCTATATATATAAAAAATATTTGAAATGTTGAGCACACTGATAGCAAAACTTGATGAATCATGCTCCTGGAGTCTTTGCCTTTACTCCTCTCAAAGTCAAGCAGAAACAGCAAAAGAGATGAGGTGGAATGAAAATCTTGCTTTGCCATATGAGGTTTAGAATATTTAACTTAGTCTTATATTCACTTCCCTCACAAGTAGCTGGAAAGATTAGAAATAGGATTTTCAATGTCAGTAAAAATTAACGCTGATATTATATTCATATTTCTGATTGTTTTATGTATGTAAACACATAAATTTTAAATACACAATATATATACAGTCGACCCTTGAATAACATGGGCGTGAGCTACACAGTTTCACTAATACATACATATTTTTTCAATAAATATATTGAACAATGTTTTAAAAATTTGCAACATTTTAAAAAAAATCGCAGACAAACTGTACAAAATATAATTTACCAATACAATTTAGGAAAAGTTAGGTAGGTCATGAATGTATAAAATATAAGTAGATACTAGTCAATTTTACTATTTACTACCATGAAATATACACACATGTATTATAAAAAGTAAAAATTGTATGAAACTTACAGACCATACATGACAACATTCACAATGAAGATAAATGAAAACAAACAAAGATCCGGTATTAAAACATAATTGCATAAAATTATAGTACATTTTGTACTACTGTAATGATTTTGTAGCCACCTCCTGTTGCTATTTTGTTGAGTTTGTGTTGCAAGCATCCACTAACAACATAGTGTGGCTCTAGCCATCTTTGGGTGAACAATTCATCTCTTCAGTAAATTGTGTATTCCAGAAAAAAGTGTTCTTTCACAGTTCTCATGTTATTTTTCACTGTGTTTAGTACAATATCATAGACCTTGAATACAACAAGGGACCTACATGCAGTGCCACTATTGATGCCAGAAGTTCTCCAAAGAAGCATAGAAAAGCCATGACATTACAAGAAAAAGTTGAATTGCTTGGTACATACCAAAGAATGAGGTCCGCATCTGCAGTTGCCCATCATTTTTCAAGTAAATGAAGCTAGTGTAAGCACTAGTGCCAATGTAAGAAAAAAAATGGCTGCAGCTATGCTAGCAGGTACAGAAATCTTTTGCTTTTCATGAAATACATTTTTTTAATCTCATATCCTTATGCTAGTAAAGAAAAATACAGCTCTTATGTTAGCACAGGATTGTCACAAGGAAAATATACCAATGGATTCTAACATAATTCAAGAAAAAAATTAAACCATTATATAGAACTTAAATCAAAAGGAAGATGAAGTATCAAAGCTGGATAATTTATTGGCAGCAAAGGATGGTTTGATAATTTTAGAAAAAAAAGATTTGGCCTAAAATGTCAAGGTAATAGGAAAAGCAGCTTCTATCAACCAAAACGCAGCAGATGAGTACCTAGATGCCATAAAAAATTGAAAAGAAAATGTATCTGCCTGAACAGGTTTTTAATGCAGATGAAAGTGCCATATCAGGGGATCATAAGGACATTTAAGGCTCATTACGCATGGTGCTCTATGGAAATAATTTTCAACTCTATGGAAGAGTACCCTGATAGGACATCTGGAAGGATTGTTAAATTTGGCATCATTGTTACAGAAAAGCAATATAAACCACCAAGCTCGAAACAATAAATTGCTGCTGGAGAAAAGTGCATCCATAAAACTGTGCATGACTTCACAGGATTTCTGACAGAGCCAATTTAGGACATAATAAAAGAGATTGTGGATATAGCAAAAAAGGTGAAGTATGAAGGGTTTCAAGATATGAGTCTTGGAGAAATTCTAGAGTTAACAGACACCACACAAGAGGAATTAACAGAAGATTACTTGATAGAGATGAATGTTTCCAAACTAGTGCCAGATAATGATGATGGAAAAGATGTAAAAGAAGCAATGTCAGAAAACAAGTTGACTTTTGACAATCGACCAAAAGGTTTCCAATTATTCAAGACTGCTTTTGACTTCTCCTACTACAAGGAGCCTTCTTTGATATGGCACTGAAACTAAGGCATATGGTGGAAGAAAGATTTTTACCACATCAGAACATTTTTAGAGAAATTAAAAAGCAGAAAAGTCAGAAATTATAATGTATTTTCATAAAGTTGGGCCAACCATGCCTGCCTCTCCTGACTTTCCTTCTATCACCTCCACAAATCTGCCTCTGCTACCCATGAGATAGCAAGGCCAGCCACTCCCCTTTCTCTACTTCAGCCTACTCAACGAGAAGAATTAAGAAATTATGATGACCTATTTCCACTTAATAGTAAATATTTTTTATCTTCCTTATAATTTTCTTAATAATTTTATTTTCATTAGCTTAACTTACTGTTAGAAAAAGTACATAATGCATATAACATTTAAAAGATATGTTAATCAAATGTTTACGTTATTGGTAAGGCTTCTGGCAAACAGTAGGCTATTAAGTTTTTCGTGAGTTAAAAATTATACACAGATCTTTGCCTTTGTGGGAAATCAGCAACCCTAATTCCCACATTGTTCAAGGGTCAAGTGTAATACATAATACATATAAATATATATAATATATATCATAATCCAATACTCAAAAATAATAACCAGGAAAATGTAGTTTTCTGAGAAATTAATATTTTATTAATAAAATATATTGTGTTTTCATTAGTGACTCCTTTTTCTGAGATCATAATAAAATCCAAAATAAGGCCCACGTGGAAGTGGAACCAGCAATAAAAAATATTTGAAAAGTTAAATGAGCATTGAAATATGACACCCAGAAAATATGGTGACAGATAATAGCTGTACGTGGAGTGTACAAAGCAGTCAAGGAGGCAACAGATGATACAGTAGAATTTGGGTAGATTTGGGTGGATGACCAGAAGAATGGAAGATACAATATAGGGAAGTTAAGGCAGACTGTTGCGACAGAAAAATGATAGCTGAAGGTGTCATTCCTACCATGATCATTTCAATTGTAGCAGTGGGTTTAAAGCAGGTGTTGTGATTCATGTGGCCACATGAATAATAAAATCACCTGGGTAACCACATCAAACATACTCCTACACTCCAGGGAACATATAGGGAAGGAAGCTGATGGACAGTACATCCCTAGAGATGTTATACAGTAGGCTTGTGGAAAGAACAGAGGATTATTTTGTTCAAGACAGAATTAATCCTTTATAGTTTGGCTTTTCTGCACAATAAGAACACTATTTAGTTACTATGCATAAGTAGTTAAATTTGATTTCTTTGATGTGTAATAACCTTAAGCATGGTGTGTTTTCATAATTCTAATTCAGTATTTTTAACATTATCAAAATTATTATCAGAGTTGTGATTGTGCATCCCACTTCATTTTTTTTTTCCCTGATACCTACTTTCTGACCTCAAATTTCAATTTTTTTTTTTTTGTAAAACTAGGTTTCTTCTTTGCTCTGGTTCTCTACGTTTCTATTTCGATAATGTGTCCCTTGCATCATTTTGCCTTCTAACTAGAACCTTAAACGGATCTTGGCACGGAAACATTTGACAGTTTCTCACTGTCATCAGAGAGTATATCCTCATAATTCTGTGTTTCTACAATTCTAAGAGTCATCAACCTCACTGTTCTCCATTATTTTTTCTATATAACTCCAGCAATTTCCTCCCCTTGATATTGAATCACTGATGTCTTGCTGGAATATAACCTGCTTGATGCCACCAAGTAAATACCATGAACTTACTGATTAACTCAAATTTCTAATAAGTCCCCATGCATGTCATATCTCAATGTCTAGGTAAAGTTCATAAAGAGTACATATTTTTTCTGCCAAATTCTCCTTAATTAGTACAGGCTTGGTTACAGCTTCTGGTTTTAGCAGGCAGCTACAGCTGCTAGAATGCAGATTTTAAAATATCCTCTCTGGGATATGTTATGTTTGGATTAATTCTTTTTTCAGATGTCATTCTTGAAATCTCTAAAAAAGCTAATCCAGAGACGACTGATTTTATCTATTATGCTACTCCAGTATTAGTCATGCAGAGGAAGTGTGACGATGTGCTTGCTCCCATCTTGACTTTCACTGTCTTGTGTTTTTGTTGTTGTTGTTTTGTTGTTGAGTAACTGGATGAGGGTTGAAGACTTCTATGAAGATCTAGAAATGGCTGTCTCCTTTTTTTTTTCAGATAAAACTGGATGTGCGAGTTCGAAGGTCTACATTTTGCAATAGGAGGTAGGATATTAGTGTTAACTTTGTTACTAAGGCATATATACATATATTTTTTGAGATGGATTCTCACTCTGTCACCCAGGCTGGAGTGCAGTGGGACGATCTTGGCTCACTGCACACCCCGACTAAGGCATATTTTACTTTTTCGTTTTTGAGACAGGGTCTTACTCCATTGCCCAGGCTGGAGTGCAGTGGTGGATTATGGCTCACTGAAGCCTCAATCTTCTGGGCTCAAGTGATCCTCTCACCTCAGTCTCCCAAGTAGCTGGGACCACCGGTGTGTATCACTACCCCCGATCATTTTTTGTATTTTTTGTAGAGATGGGGTTTCACCATTTGCCAAGGCTGGTCTCGAACTCTTCAGCTCAAGCAAAATGGTGGGATTACAGGTGTAAATTACCCTAAGGCATATTTTTCAATCAAGCTTTTACTTCAGCTTTGCTCTTCGTCTAAAATTTTTTGTTATTTATCTTGATATGCTCTTGTCTGAGAACCCCTGTAGGAGATGAATCCTATTTCGCAAATAAACCCCCAAAGAAGTAATCTTTAGCAAGACTGCTATATACAGAAGACAGCTCTGTGATTGATAGTAATGACACTCAGCAAGTACAAAGTCAAAATGCAGATATAAAAAGTAGCATTTACTAGTATTGGGGTTGATATTTTTGATAGAAGAATGTATCAGAGGCCAAGATTCTAACCTATTTTTTTTCTGAATTAAATTTCAGAGAATAGCTGAATTGAACTAGGGAGACATAAATTTGTCATTAATAAATCTTGCAGCACGAATGTATTCAAACTATGGAAATATGATATACAGTGAATATATCTGTGGTTAGCAAAATGATGTTACACTTTTATAATAAATTTCTTATAAAAAAGACACAGGTTTCATTCATTGTATTATCTTTAGTATCTTGCACAGTTCTGGCATGAATTAGATATTAAAACTTTCTACTCCCAAATTAAGCAATACATTATTAGAAAATGTTAGTCAATACTTAGGTATGCCCCAAACATTTTGCAATGTATGGAAAATGCAAATTTTAAAAGTTATTGTCTTTGCCTAAGTTCTTTCCATTTTATGAGGAAATAGCAGCAAGAATGGAGAAAGAAGAGTGGACAATGTTGAATAAAAGTGACATAGAAGTGGAAGAAAAGTATAAGGAATAGAAAATGTACATGAGGCAAGAAATAACAACATAATGATGAGAAGAAAAAGGAAAGAAGCATAGTAGTGAATATTGAAGATGCTAAAGAATGATGCAAAAGAAGGAGAAATAGATGCAAGTGGAGGAGCAAGGCAGAAAGGAAAAAGAGAAAGCATTAAGGGCAAATTAGACTAGAAAGGAGGACCAAAGGGAACAGGACTACAGCAAAATGTTTCTGTATCTGCTATAATTAATTCATTACAATAGATGATATATGCTTTTACTCTAATAGGTTTAGTTGCAACTGATTTGAAATTATTAATATATATAATTTTAATATTTCTTTTAGAAATATTAAATTGGTGGCAGCAAATGAATAAATGACCACTATGTAGGAAAATAATTGTTAAAATTTAAAAGGATAAATTCTTGACAGAAACCTGCTTCAAAAACAAGTGCGATCTTATGTAACAAACACAGAACTTCCATTAGCTCCAATTTAAATCAAACTGACAGGTTTCACTCAGCATTTGTTATGAACACTAAATGTTCTTGTAAAATCTTGTAAGAAATAAATCTTCTATTATGAAATAGCAGTCATATTCCTGAAATAAAACATAGATACCAGGTTGTTTTACCCACTCCACCCCATTGGAGATTGACAATTATAAAATATGCATACATGTGCAATTGACAATTAATTATAAAATATGCATACATGCACAATAATGCAATTAGTACATATAAGCATATTACTATTTCTCTCTCACACAGGGGTGCAGGCACACATCCACAACCATTCATGCACACACACAGTTATTGCACATGGATAATTTTAATTGTTGCTACTCTTTTAAACTGTCATTACCACCATTGTTATCTTTTTCTTTGTGACTAATTGCTCCCCACTGTTAGAATGGAATGAGATCTGATAATACAAAGAGAAACTTCCTCAGGTTTCTCTCCCACGTTCCCCATATCCCTCAGTAAATTTCATCTCCAGTTTTTAAAGCTAAGAAAAAAAAAAATGATTAGAGAGCATCTCTGTCTCCTGACTGAAACAATAAGCATTCATCACTGTTGCACAGTAAAAATGTCACATTGGTCCAGCCCCAAGCATTGCTTATTTATATAGTCTTGGCCTCTAGTAGTGGGTACAAACTAGCCCCAGGTATAGTTTTGTCCCAAATGGATCTAAGTACTTCTGCTGCATTTTCAGAAATTTCAAAATCTAAAATTGTCTAGTGAAAAGAAAACACATGTGATCTAAGTCATTATCTTCAGTACATTGTTATTTCAGAATATGCTAAAGCATGTGCAATGAGCTGTTCATTAATATCAGGAATTGACAAAGTTTGGAAATGTGCCTAGAAATCAAAATCTACCATAATTCCATCATAAAATAGAGGATCAGAAAGTAATTGCTACTACAATGAGAAAAATAAATGTTGTTTATGATTGCTTGCTAAATCTATTTCTGAAATATTTTATCATTATAAAATGATTGACATACAAATAATTCTCATGATTTTAGGGTAAAAGCTAAAAAAAAATTATATTTATATGACCTGAATCAAGACAGTGAAATAAAACAGTAAATATTCATGAATGCACACATAGAGAGACATGTATGTTTTTGTTTCCTAAGATTTGACGGTGTTCCCTGAAAACCCAGGGGGTTGTTTTAAATTGTTAAGGAGGAATAATCCAGCTTGTTTACAATGTGGCAGCCCATATCAGCATCCTATTCCACACAGTCCTTGAAAATCTTGAAAATAAACATATCAGCATTATCATTACCTATATATACATCTTATGTGAATTTATACAGCTAGAATGTAAGATTAATGTGGACAATTCAAAAGCATTCTTCCTTGCCTGGAAACTAATTTACATAACCCTCTTATATTCGTATCTTCCATAGTATAGCAAAGGTGCCTTCTCACACTTTCCCCCCTATCTTGAGCTTCTGCCTTCCTGTGTTTTCAAACTAAGTTACTCTCTATTTCCTGAAAATGCCTCCACTTCTAACACCGAGTCTTTACCCACAGAGACCCAAAACCCTTAATATAACTCATTGGTTTTCCTAATATCTGGATACTTCTCACTTTTCTAATCTCCTCAGTCTTCCTTCCTTCTCAGGAATCCTACATGATTAAAATCTTACTAGACTGAGTCATACATTCTCAAAAGGATGATATTGTCCACAATGTGGCTACAATTGGCTCTTGAGGGGGAAAATATTCTTCAGAATTACAACAGTGTTGGTCTCCACAATTTAACACTACAGGACAAGATCTTCATCATTAAAAATTTAATTTCATGAGAGAATAGTGGTGATTTTGTAAAAGCATCTAAAAGGGATTCTGATAGGGAGAAGAGTGATAATGAAAAGAAGACTGGAAAACACTGGGCACAATCATTGTCCCAATTGCCCTCAATATATTTGCAAAACTCTGTATAAATACATTTTTTTTTTCTATCCAAGATAACTTTGTTCAACATTTGATGACTTATCTTTAGAAAATCCTCCCATTCTTCTAGATATAGCTCAAATGTAAACTCTCGTAGCTTTTGTGGATACAATCACTCCACCTGTACCAGACAGAAAACTTAGTTTTACATGTGTTCCCATATTTTCCAGGTACTTGGCATGGTATGCACCAAATGTTTCTGGATCCCCCTGCAATGTATACATTGAAACTCTAATTTCAGTATGTAAAGTTTCTGGAGGTGAAGCCCTTGAGAGGTAATTAGGTCAGGAGGATGAAAGCCCTCATGAATGGAATTAGTGCCCATATAAGAGGAGAGCTAACAAGTACTCTCTCCACCACGTGAGGGCGCAGTCAGGAGGTGACTCTCTGCAACCCAGAAGGGAGTCCTCACCAGAACCTGATCAGGCTGGCAACCTGGCTACCAGAACTACAAGAAATATAATTCTGGGGCGGGGGCAGTGGCTCACTTCTGTAATCTCAGCACTTTAGGAGACCGAGGTGGGCAGATCACTTGATGTCAGGAGTTCGAGACCAGCCTGGCCAACATGGCGAAACCCCATCTCTACTAAAAATACAAAAATTAGCCAGGCATGGTGGCGGGCACCTGTAATCCCAGCTATTTGTGAGACAGCCTGAGGCAGGAGAATCGCTTGAACCTGGGCAGAGGAAGTTACAGAGATCCCGCCATTGTGCTCCAGCCTGGGCAACAGAATGAAAAAAAAAAAAAATCTGGTTTTTCACTGTCTCCTAGGCTGCAGCCTCAAACTCCTGGGCTCAAGTGATCCTCTTGCCTCAGCCTCCCGAGTAGCTGCGACTGCAGGCATGTGCCACTACACCCAGCTAATGTTTTTATTTTTATTTTTGTACAGATGGGGTCTTTCCCAGGCAGATCTCGAACTTCTGGCCTCAAGCAATCCTTCCACCTTGACCTCCCGAAGTGTTAGTATTACAGACATGAGAATTTCTGTTGTTTATAAACCACACAGGCTATAATATTTTGTTATAGCAGCATGGACTAATACAATTCATCACTGTATATCCACTTATTTATATATTGTTCTTCCCTGTGATAATGTGTCTTCATATTTAAGTCCATACTATCTACATCTTTATAATCCTCAGTAATATGGAGCTGTTATCAGACTAAGCAAGACGGTTTAAAGATTAGGAAAATGAAAGCCTTTAGATAAAATCAGTAACTGAAATATTATTTTTTTGATGTAGAGAAAGAATAGGTAAAGATATAACGCTGCTTAATTTCAGATCAACTATAGGCTATTCTGCTTATCTAGTGTGAAACAGGATTATCAAGGCCAAATTTAGGTTTCTAAAACAGAGCCATAAAGTGAGTATGTGCTTCACAAATTATATTAGCATCATCGTGGTCCCCATGATGAGTATAAATATAAGACCATGTAGGTGACAACAAAAAGTCCTAGATGAAAGAAGTATATGTAACCTATACCTATTAGTCTGTATTTATTTATATCTCTAAACTTTCAAGCAATTTATATTTACTTATATAACATAGTAATATAATTATATAATATACTATATAAATTTACAGTAAATATAAATTTACTGTACATCTATGGTAAATATATTTATACAAATATATTTATATATTATGCATACATAATTTTTATCTTAATTAGAGACAGAGTCTTGATGTGTAGCTCAGGCTAGAATATTGTGGCTCTTCATAGGTGTAAGTATTGCACACTACAGCCTCAAATTCCTGAACTCAAGCAAGCCTCCCACCTCAGCCTCCCCAAGAAGCCAGGACTATAGGTATCCACTACTGTGCCTGGCTCTATATTATATACTCATGTATAAATATTTCATAATTAATATAAATAAGAAATTATTATAAGTTACATAATATAATATTTTATTTATTAGTCATCAAATAAATCTCTTAGTTTTAGAAGACATTTAACTTAGAGGAGATACTGCTTTATCTCTCAAGTGCTAAAGAAAATATAAGTGAACACATTTATTAGTAAGGAAGGTCAAATTATAAATCAGTCCTGCTTCAGTGATTTTTCCAAGTTAATTTATAAATGGCATTTAAAAAAATTAAATGCACCAAGTAGAATTTTAAAAGTAGTCAAAGAGGAAGTTTAAGATACCAACAAAAGGAAACACTGTATATTTACTGAAATCACAAAGGTAGACAGATGTAATTTTAAAGGTCAATGAAGAAATTTGATATAAAAACAAAATAATAAAAATGTTAAAATTAATTAAATTTTTACTGAATGTAATTTAAATTACTGAATGCTAGAGAGTTGAAGGTCCTTTATTAACACTCTTCATATTGGCCTATTTTACAGAAGGGATGAGATTATAAAACTCAAGAAACCAGTATGTGTAAAAAAAATAAAAATAAAAAGATTGTCATATATATATAAATAAAACAATAAAAGGAAAAGATTGTGTGTGTGTGTGTGTATATATCATCTTGGCTCACTGCAACCTCTGCCTCGTCGGTTAAAATGATTCTCCTGCCTCATCCTCCCAAGTAGCTGGGACAACAGGCACATGCCACTATGCCCAGCTAATTTTTTTTTTGTATTTTTAGTAGAGATGGGGTTTCACTATGTTGGCCAGGCTATGTTATTAATATTAATATCTGATACCATGGTATTAGACATTTCTTGTCTTGATAGTATAGATTTCTGGGACTCAGAACACAATAACCCAAAGCACATAGCCTTGACATGCTGAGTACTTTGAACAGGAGGACACTGGAAGACTTCAGAAACAAGATTGCACCTTCTCCTGTCCTCCTGTTTCCTGCCCGTCCTTCTTCCCCGAAGTGAGTCATAGAAACCAGAATTCTTCATTAAAATTGGTCATAGAAACTAGAACCCCTCTCCCACAAACTAAGCCATAAAACTTAGAAAGTTCACTCTTTCTCTTCTCCCTTAAAGGTCTACCTCATACCTAAGAGTAAGGAATGCCACACAGAGAGGCCTAGAAAATCTGAACGGACAGGCATTGTTGGGTTTCCCCACCTAGTCTATCACTATTAGTCATACCCTTTGTCCAATCACATGTCCACATAATTGTCTGATCTTCATCAAACCTGATCATAAAACAGTTTTCTCTGGATCTTTGGGTCTTCATTTTCTGAAGGCCCCTGTGTCACATAAATCTTTGATTAAACAAACTCTCTATGCTTTTCTCTTCTTATAGGAGTGTCTATTGTGACCCTTATGATGAGGAAAACTGCCATAACTTTCCATCCTTATAAGATTCTCATATTTGAAAACATTCTTCGATTTCTAGCAAAAGCATAAATTTTAATGAAATTAAAGAACGTTTCTTTGTCTAGTTGAAAATAATATAAATGCCCTTTTTTGGTTGAAAAGGAAACGGCCCAACATATAGTGGCACAGTGGAATTCTAGATAAATCAGGGCTAGAGATCAAATAAATATACTTAGAGCAGTTGGTTCAATAAGAATTCTCAGTAGGATGCGCTGTTCCTTATTGAATAAAAATTCTAAAGATCACCTCAAATCTTTGCATTTGTTAAGAACTGCACTTACCACATATACAAAGTCGTCTTCTATTTTGATAATTAACACATTTTTCGGTAGCAGCTCAATAAGAAAAATAGTTTCTTCTTTTATTGTGCTGTGGACTTAATCTCAACAGGGTGTCTCTCCCTGCCCACCCTAATTAAGAAAACTGGCATATAAAACTTTCTGCAGATGGATCAACAGCAGGAGCTGCATAGATTTTCTTCATGAGCTTAATAGTTCTATCAGCAGCCCACATCACTTGAAAATCAGTAGTGCTGTCTATACTCCATAGGCCTTCAGAGCATCCAAGCTCCCTGCCAATGCTTCCTCTACGATTACTACTGAGATTCCTCTCAAGGTTCTCCAGAACAGTCTCCTACATGTTAGTTTTTTTCTGAAACTATTTTCTCTGTTTTTTTCCTGGCTCCCACACTGTGTAACTCTTGCCAAGAGACTATTCCTGCCATCTTAATAGTCGCACATCAGAATTGGAGAATGAGAGGCCACAAAACCGAAGAAGATAATGAGGAAAAGAAAGTAGCTTCTAGCTTAAAAAATTCACCTGGTTCACTTTATTTTGCAGTCTTTATATGTATTATATCATATCATATCATTTTGGCAAGTTTAACCCACAGGAGTAGTCCTGGCTTAGATGCACCTAATTTATACTTGTCTTTTAGGAGAAATAGCAAGACAAAACCAAGTATCTCTATTTTATCCCAGGCTGCCATTTGGATAGCTCATCTTTCTTTCTGTCCTCCTTTTGTTTGTGTGAAGAAATGACTAATGCATTCCCACTCTGGTTCTCTTACTTCATTCTAGTGCTGGTCAAAGATGGAACTTGTTGTAGAATCTCCATCTTCAAGTAGTGCTTAGAATACAAATGCTTAGAATAAGCTATGTATTGCCTCTATGCTACTTAGTTTTCCCTTATAATCTCTAATATGAAGACAGATTAAGCGAAACACACATATGAAGATTGTTCATTGCTGTTCCCTATTTTCATAGCAACAACCCTTAGAAAATCTTGAAAGGCATCTGCATACAATGCCTGACACATTCTAATTGACAGTTATCATGATAAAAAACATAAAAATTTATAATAAATTAAGACAATACAAGATGATATCAGCCAGAGATATTATTTGCATAAAATATAATCTGTTTTAATTAGTAAATCAAAAGACATGTGACTCAGCCTTTTAAGTCTCACAATCTCCAAAGCCAGAACACTAGGCCCGGAGGATACACAGCCAGAAAGGACATCAAACCACACAGTAGAGTTGTTGCTTTGGTGCCTTGTTTGGATTTTCCCCTCAAGACTAATATGCCAGAAGTCTTGGATGTTGAAGGCTCAAAGCTGAGTCTATTTCAAGAAATTGCCCTCAACCAAAAGTAGGTGCCTCATCTAAGATTCTGCCCTGTCTTTAGAACCAACCCACATCTGAAGACTGGTTAAAATGGATACTACAAAGTCTGGGCTCCTTTTCTCAATTTGGAAAAACAATGAATTGCTATCCCAGCTCTTGAGAATTAGAACAAAGTAGAGACAATGAAATTCTGGTACATAATTTTTAAAATCTATTTTTGATTGTTAACATAATACAAATTTAAAGTTACTCTGAGTTATAGTGTGGGACAGATAATCTTTATTTAGCCACATTAACCAAATGCTTTAGTTTTTGTTTTGTTTTCCAAATAAAATAATATCACATAAAACCACAAGTGTTTCTCACAGACACTCCTACCAGGCATCAATAGTAATTATGTAATATAAGAGGCATTTTAAGAGATCCGAGTTGAGTAAGAGGTCTTATGTAAAGCTGTTAACCAAGTACAAGTAAGTAAAATCATGATTCTGGATCCACTTATTCTTTGGTACAATGTGTGTTGTTGATTACATAATGTCTGTGGATGGCTCTGTTTCTAATATTCTGCCGTTCTATGATTCCAGATAATGCTGTTTAAATCAATTATGATAAAGTTCAGGTGGAACATTAATGTAAACAAATCTTCAGTTTGGCAGCCAACAGAAGATATGATTCTTTCAAGACAAAAGGAGAAACCAGCATCCTTTACACAATGAATATTGACAAATTTAGTAAGCAACAAGAGGGGCTGGAGGCAACGTTGGAGGATCTGCAACATCTGTCGGTGGCATGCCTCCAATTCTTCAGTTTTCTCTCATCAGCTCCAGTCATCTTGGCCCATAGAATCTTTCCAGCTCCAGGATTAATCATGTTCATGTATCTGAGTATATTCTGACTGTGGGAAATCATAATTATATCCAAGAAACTGGCTCGTGACTTTGTATCTTGTCCAGACCCCAAATCTATGTTACCCAATGTGGATTTCTGGTTTCCAACATTGTTCCTTTATTATCATAAACCAAGGAGTGGTAACCATAAACCAAGAGCCTCCAATTTTATTCCTGTAACACTGAAGTTATTCCTTTCAAGTCTTCCCTATCATTTCTCAGAGTGTGTGTTTTCCCTGATTTTCTTCCTCTTTCTTTTCCCTAGCACAAGCAAATAAGTAGTTTTCTATTCTCTATTGAAAATATTGAGTACCTAAATTATGACATACATTTTAATATTCAGTTTTATATAGCATCTAACCATCACAACTCTACTGTGATATATACAGTTCGTTCTCATTAAACAGTTGAGAAATATCCTCAGTGAAATGAAGTAAATAACCCAAGACCATACTGCTATATAATGTTAGAACCTGGATATACAGATCTCCAAACTTGAATATAGATAGATCTATAGATATATTATATCCACTATATGTGTGTGTATATAGGTGTGTGTGTATATATATATAATGTATGTATGTATAACTGATTCCAAAACTGTGCTTTTGAAATATACAGTTATGAGGCAATTACCCAATCTTATTTTTTGCCCCGATGTAGACAAATTGTTTTAATTTTGATTGAGCTCTCTATGCGGCCTACACATTTCAGGTAGGTAGCCTCCATAGCTCATCTATTCCCTCAGTAACTATGCTGCCGAAATCTTGAACTTCCAGACTTCTCCATCACAACCCAGAGCACACATACACACACAAAATGTAAGCTTAGTCTCAGTCTATGTCCTGTTCATGGAACGGCCTCTGAGCCATTGTTGCTACCTAGAGTCTTCTGACATATTTGAGTCTTGCACTTTGTCAGCTGGTTGACATACCACACCTCACTTCCCATGTCATTTAACATGTTCCCTTCCCAGGCAGCAAACTCCTTCTTGCTACTCCTTGCTCCTCTTATTATTAAAGAAATAAACTGAATTACTTTATAGGATTTATAGTGAAATATTTGTATTTCCTATAATGTAAATAGTGTGTACACTTTTTTTTAAATGCTGATATTGACAATGAGTTCAAGTATTAGCCTAATCTTCTGCAGCATTTCTCATAATAATTTAGGCAGCCATTGATAATAATTTTCTGTGTCTGCAATTTCATTCGTGGTTGCAATATGATGATACTACAATTCTATTAACCTTTTTTTTTCTATATCAGCTGGAATTCTTAATTTAAAAAATATTTCATCAATTATTTAGTTGCAGTTGTATAAGACTATTAGGATGAACGATAGAGTCCTTCCCTTTCTTTCTCAGTTTACAGAATGCATTGGTTACACAGTATTCACCAAATGTGATTAAGGAATTTTTATTACGTAAAAAATTATCATTTTTACCACTAATTAATGTCAATCAATTTTTCACTAACTTCCACTTGTTTTGCTACTAAAATTGCCTCGTCCTAACAATAGAATCCTCTTCCAATTGTACCATGAGAATTTCTGATACATAGTCTTTGAAATCTTTCTTAATTTTTTAGGATAATAAGTTGTTTCAGACGAATTCTGCATATTTTTGCACCCTATCTAGACTTAACCATTTATTCAGGGTCCCCTGATTTATTTTAATGTAAAACACTATATAAGAGACTACAGTCTGCTCACCAAGGTGGTCAGCGTTACTGGGTCATCACTGTTTTTAGGCTTTTTAGAATATGAGGCTTGGAATCACATATGAATATAAAAGATAAAATATTTTATGTGTATAATAATGTTTTTTATTGTCAAAGCCAAATTAACAAAATATTACCACCAATAGACGTACTATGGATATTGAAATAGTGATATTTAGTGGTGAGTATTTTTTTCCTTTTGAACTAAACACTTACCCACTTCTCCAAAGTCAATCTTTAAACCATTCATTTCCAACATGGGAAAAATTATATTTCTTTTCCTTTATATGACAATGTTATGATGACACATTTATAAAAATGTGAAAATGTATTAAAAATTAAAATGTTGCAGTCAGCTTTCAATGATCAGAAAGTAGCTTATTCTTTGGTATATCCCAGCTTTGAAAATTACTGAGGAAAGTGCTAAATGATTTATTTTATTGGCAAAACTTTCTGAAAATTACACAGAAAAAAATAAACGAAATCTTTAAACAGAGTTAGTAACCAAGGAGTGTTCATGACAACCACAGTCAGTGCAATCCCTGACATGCCTTTTGTCCAAGCGCAAAGGGAATAATTAAGGTGCGTATTGAATTTCGTATCAAAAAGCAGAATAGTATTTTGTGCATCAGATTGCAGCATAAAACTCGGGACCTGTAAAGACCATGCGGAACAACGGGACCATCTGTAGATGAGTGTTTGATGACATTTTTGAAGCATCTGTGATGACATAGGTCATTCACCCAGACTTCAACTATCTCACACCCTCACTGGGGTTCAGCTGAGTAACTTTGAAGCAACCCAATGAATAGCTACTATTGACATTTTCTAAAAATAAGACATGAGAAAGGAAAGTTTCAACAAACTTCTTCAATTCATTTCAACTCAATAAACATTTTTGAAGACTCACTAATGTGCACTGTCTTTGCTGCTCTATGCATCTCTCTTATCTATTAAATGTTCATCCTGCTTCAGATCCCTGTCAGATCTATCCTTCATGCTGCTGATACAAGAATCTTTTTCAAACATATTCCTGGTAGGGTCACTTCTCCACCTAAAATCCCCAGGATAAAATTCAATAACTTTAGCAAGATAGAAAATGTCATTAATGATTTGTTCCCTCCATCTCCTCTCATATCTACTTATCCCCATGCCCCTGACATGCAAAGCTATTTATATGCCTTCTTGTGCTATTCTCACCTGAATCATTTGTGCAATGCTTATGTTATATCCTCTTCCTGAAATGGTCATTCTGTCTTAAATGGTCTATATAGTAGTTGACTTTTTGATAACTCACACATTGCCTTCTACACAGAGTCTTCCATGATTTTTCAAGCTTGCTTAAATATCTGTGGGTTCTTTCCATTAGAATGTGAGTGATTAAAAGGCAGGAGGCTGGCTCATAGGTCTTTTTGTATAACCAACCCCCACTTCTCTAACAGTACCAGGTAAAATAAAATGTAAAAAAAAAAAAAAATGATGTTTTATTTAATTGCTCAACCAACCCTACAATATATCAAACAGCTGCCATTCCATTAGAGCCCTGGGTATCTCAAAGACTTACTCAGCATCTCTGTTTCAAGGGGATGTGAAAGAGAGCATTTCTTAGTAGAAAGTTTTATAACTATGTGAAAAGTAAACAAAGAATGTGAAGCATGAAATGGATTACATGGAGTAGCTTTGTACTTGTCAGAAAGGAGACTGATTAGCTTTCTGAATCCTCAGAGTGGCAGTTCATTATTTTACTGGTTTCTAGTATAAGCGAGATATCCAAATTTAAACGCAAATAACAAAGGGATTCCATAAACAGATAAATATTATATTTGCATTGACAGTCATCATTGCCTCATGGCTTTTGAGGGTGCCAAGATATAATCCAGGCTGTCTTCCTACTCAAGCCACTGTAAAAGCACCAGACCTGGAGACGTAGGTGACTTCCAAAGTGAAATAGCTGAATGGTAGCAGAAACTGAAAACGTGCCTTGGTTTCTGAACTCTTAATCCAATGTGCATTTTACTAGAGTAAGGGCTATCAAATTATAAATAATATATACATATCACAGTAAAACACCTGCATTAAATATTTTTAGTTTCACAATAAAAAACTTCATTATTGACCAGCATTTAATTTTAGACTCAAAATTTATAAAAATATTAGGTTATACTTTTCTTTCTTGCATATATATTTAATATCTATTTTTAATTTTTTTCAAATTGAATTATGTTTTAGACTTTATATGAACAGCTTTATCGTTCTTTACAAGAGGTGGTCTATTTGACGGTCAAGTTAAGAAAGTTGCATTTGTCTTACAGCACTGAGAAAGTTTAGTATGTTACAATCAAAATTAATGAAGGGAGAATGGAGCAACCAACTTTTTACATAAGAAAATAGGATTATTTGAAGAGAAGTAAAAAATCAAATACAAATGAGCAAAAATGTCACAATAAAGAGGATTTGAGAAGGAAGAAAATAGAAATGAGTTAGAGGCATTATGATGTTCATTACTGCTTATAAAAATTAAATAGAAAAGCTACAAAAAGATATTGATATATATTATGTCCTGAACGTTTGTGTTCCCTCAAATTTCATATTAAGTATAAATTAGGAACCAAAACTCATATAGGTATGGTACTAGGAGGTGAGGTCTTCTGGAGGTCAAAGAACCTCTTATGTAATTAGTGCACTTATAAAATGGGCCCAAGAAAGTTCCTTTGTTCCTTCTGCCTCATGAGGACACAAGGAGAAGGCACTATCTGTGAGAAAATAGGCCCTCAGCAGACACTGCACGTGCCTGCACTTTGATTTTGGATTTCCCAGCTCCCTGAACGGTGAGAAATACATTTCTGTCATCGATAAGCCACCCAGTCATGCAGCGGATGTATTTTGTTAAAGCAGTTTGACTAGACTGCAACAACCTGGTAAAAACATAGGAAATTCTTTTTATCTCTGAAGGTATTTTAAAAAATACTAATTCAATGATATGGTGGGTGTCAAGACTTGGCAGTTTCTAAAATATCAAATAATGTTAAATGTTAACACTGTGTATAAAAAGTGGTTGTAGAATCCCTGAAGGATTTTAGTAAATTTTAGACTAACCCTTATATGCCTGAAACGCAGAGATACAAACAAGGGTGTAGGATGTGGGAAAAACTGTGAGATGTCTCACACATAATTCTTCATAAGTAGACATAGGTAAAGGAAATAAGTTGATATAATAATAATATATCACATAATGTAATTAAAGTGATGCTTCAAACTTATAAAGATATTTGCATGATTTTATAGATTATTGGATATATGTAACATCAGAAAAAAGCCAGCAAATGCATTATCTGAGAATGTCCTTCAATGTTAATTCTTTTCTTTTTTCACTGGCTATTAATATCTATATATTTGAGGGCTTTTTTCTCGACTTGTAATTATGCTATTTTTGTGATTTAATTCTATCATAAAAATGGCCTATAAAATAATATTATTCTATATTGTGCCCCATTTAGGATATGGCTGTCATGGCTCTCCGGTCCCTTCACCTCGCAAAATAATCAGTAAATTGAAAACCACTTTCACTCTTCCATTACAGAGTTTTCCCCATCTTGGAAGCATTCATACAAGATGCCTTCAATTAGCAATTCTCTTCCCATGATTTCCGTGTCTGCTAGTTTGTTACAAAGGTTGCTAATTCTTCTTTGCTCCCTTCCATTTATGTTTAATAATATCCCTAATGTCAAGCAATTCCTCCTAATAGGAGGATATTTTACTCACTATACTCTGTTAAGAAGTAATATAAAAAATCTTATTAATTTGAACTAATAATTTCCCTTTAGTATGTTAGAAGTGACATTAAAACTAGATTTTTAAAATATTAGAGTTAATATCATATACCTCATAATTTCCTGAATTTAATTAATATGATATTGAAAGACTGAAGTACACTTTAATATTAAAAATTCCCATTGGCAAGATCTACTTCATTTTGAAGCCAGGTTCTGGGATTGAGCAGATGTTAGACATAAAAATTCATGAATCTTCCAATGTTTAAGTTAACTTTGCAGGATAAATAAAAATAAAAAGTTTCCATTTGACTTTTTAAAGAAATATGCAACACTAAAAAATATTTTTTCCCACGTAGATATAAAAGTTACTCTATTTTTGGAGAGACAGATTCAGTACTAGTTGTATGATTATACTTTTCTTCAATTTTTATACTTATTTTTCTGCACTGAAATTAATTTAAAAAGTTTTATAAATGAGAAATTTACCAAGGCTATCATGAGAAATTTGGTCTTTTTGGAAAGAAGCGTTTATGACTTTTAGTTGGAGTGATGTAGAAATTGACTGCAAGGTTGTAAACACAATTTTTTTTCAAAATTTGAATGCAATAAATATGTTATAAATGAGATGCATTATCTACTACATTTAAATAAGATAATATAAGAAAAAACTAACATATCCATGCATCGTTGCTAAGAAATTTCTTCTTTTTGTATTGGACTTATAAATGTAGGCACCTTCATCTCCATATTATTGAGACATTTAAAAAATAC